AGGCAGTGCTCGCATAAGTTCATACAATCGTTGGACGCAGTCTGATTTATTGAAGTTATCACGGCTCCGTGGTGTGAAAAATCCCCCAGGCAGACGCAGTGTCATGCCGTATACCAATTCAGCGGCGGGACATTGAATATCTGCCTATAAACTCGTTCTGATACCTAAGAGGACGAGCAGTAAGGTTTCGTACCAAATGTTGTTTTCGTGTGCTCGAAGAGCACTTTTTAGTTGGCGATCAAACCGTTCGACTAAACCATTCGAAGCTGAGTGGTAGTACATATGTGCTCCGTACCAAGCAGCCGGGATAGCTAGGAGAATAATTCGGACTCGAACTGTTGTCCTCGGTCAGTTGTGACAGTCGGGGGACGACCGTAATTCCGTGAGTAACTGTTTCCGCCGTAATAGAAGTGATGGGAATAGCTTCGGGCCATCTTGTAAAACGATCGATGCATGTGAGTATGTGATCATATTCGTGCGATGGTGGCAATGGTCCTACAATGTCGATATGAACATGATCGAAGCGAGCATGAAGAGTAGCAAATGTGCCGATAGAGGCGCACTGTTCACTTTTGATCGTTGAAATTGTAAGCGTTGCTCTACCCACATAGGACATCTTTATTCATGGAAGGCCAGACGTATCGTGCAGCGATGAGTCGTAATGGGGCTGCGATACCTGGATGAGACAATTCATGAAGGGCATTGAACACGAGACGACGATGGGTCGGGATAAACAAGTAGAATTATCACAGACGATAGTACCTGATGTGGTAGTTAGTGGTACTTCCTGGCACTGAAGGGATGTAGATTGTTGTGCTTCTGTTCAGGAAGGATCATTTGCCTGGGCAGCGGCCATAGCAGGAAGATCGAGCACTGGTAAATTAACCGCATTTACTTGAATACGTGAAAGAGCGTCGGCAACGTAGTTCGACTCGCCTTTAATGTGACGAAGGTCTGTCGTGAAATGAGATATATAATCCAAATGTCTGGACTCTCGTGATGAGTAGCTGTCATACTTGGTACGCAAAGCATACGTTAGAGGCTTATGGTCGGTGAATAGAATGAAATCGCAACCTTCTGCTGAATACCGGAAATGTTTGATGGCACAGTAGGCTGCAATCAGTTCGCGACCAGAAGCGCTATATCTCGTCTCAGTGGGAGTAAGGCGTCGTGAGAAAAATTTGATAGGTTGACCACTTCCAGAGATGCTTTGTTGTATGACGGCTCCTATTGCGAAATCTGATGCATCAAACGCTATACTAAGCTTGGCTGATGGGTCAGGATGGGCGAGAAGCGTGACTACAGCTAAAGATTTTTTGAACTCTAAAAATGCTGTGCGTGCGGCATCGTTCGATTCTTATTTACATGGATTACCGCAAAGTAAGTCGGCTAATTACCATAACTTTTCTGCCGCGTGAGGAATTAAACGTCAGTAGAAGTTAAAAAAACGATAAAAGCTTTTAGTTCCTTGAGTGAGGATGGTACAGTGTACTCCATTATTATACGTACTTTCTCTCCACAAGGTAGAATACTCTCATGCTTAATGCTGTGACCCAAGAATTTTATTTCCGACTTGCCAAGTTCACACTTTTCTGGGTTGAGTATTATTCCCTTATCTGAAAAGCGTTGGAATAAGAGTGTAAGATATTGATAACGTTAATCTACGTTTGATGATGCGATTAGCAGATCACCAATATAGACGAGAACAAAAACAAAGTCTCGTACTATGCTATCGATAAACTTTGAGCAGCATTCCGAAATCCAAATGGCATTCGTACGAACTCAAACAGACCGAAAGGGTCGTGATAGCAGTTTTCTCAATATGTTCAAGGGTGTCTGGGGTCTGATGATATGCTCGTACCAGATCAATATTAGAATAGATAGTCGTGCCCTTCCTTGGTGCCGTGATGTCGTGGGGTATGGGGTGGCTATCAAAACGTGTTCTTACATCTAATGCTCGGCATTCGCCACATGATCGCCAACTTATCCCAACCTTTTTGAGAACCATGTGGAGTGGTGAGGCCCAAGTACTATGAGAAGGATGAATAATACCTGTAGCTAGTAAATTGTCAAACTCACGTTTAGCAAAAGCTAATTCGTCCGGTGCCAGTCGGTGAGGTCGTGCCGTTACTGGTGGTCCGCAGGTGACGATGTGGTATACCACTTGATGAGTAGCCAATCGATTCTCCTCGAGTGTTTTACTTAGTTGGGGAAAATTTTCGAGTAAAGCGTGGATAATGTCATCATGTGAATGGAATACCCCTGCAATTCGGTACGCAATATGGTCCCCAAGTAAAATCTCCAGGGCACAGGTGAACATTCACCACTGGTTCGTGATACGGCGGATCCAAAATTGGGAAACCAGTGCCGCGAACCGGACCTCTGTATCGTGGGAAATAAACGCTACAAGTCGAAAATTAGGAACCCGGATCTGAGAGTTAGCTAAAAGGTAGTCATTTTTAGATTTATCTACTATTTTCTAACGCTGTTGTAGTTGTGATATATATACATATATATATAAGAAAATAACGATATACATCGCACAGCAGATAAAATAGTTAGAAAATTGGGTAGAAAAATTACAGACTCACCGAATTTAATGCGTATTCGTATTTGTGGCTCACCAGTATAGCGAATCGAATAATATAATACATCTCAAGATAACAAATGTTGGTGCACGAGTGACTAACGACCAGGCAGGAGAAGCGCGAATAAACAGTACGGAAATAACACGCTTGGCGCCCGAGGGATAGTCTTTTTGTAGAGATAAACAAGAGGAGTACAATATAACAATTATTGTCAGAATTTATTACAATAACAAATGTTTATATTTCAGCACTTGTGTTTTCTTCGTATAAGTATGCCATTACTGAACCATGCCGTAATTTCGGGTTCAGTCAAACACAACCTCACTGTCATACGTTCGATAAGAAGCACTGGTAATTAAAATAATAAAGTAAGCAATAATGTGAGTTAAATGTCAATGGCGGAGAAACATAAACATGGTTACGATAGTCTTCAGTAGGGGTTAGATACAAAAGGTGCCCAAAGATCAGTGAAATAACAACGCCATCCCATAAAACACTGTGGAACTTTAATCAGATTATGCTTCGCATCACAACGAGTTCATATTGGCAAGTTTTGCTCATGCTTCCTAATCGTACCATGGGACAGCAGAACAACCTGCTGTTAGTGAAATTTAGCAGTCCATGTTATAAACCTTGGCTTCGTAAAAGCTCTTGTCACAGTATCGCACATGCTCATACTGGCAAAGATCGCGAAAATGTGCTACACCAACTCCTATCTTGGAGCCAGAGAGCTTGAAGACCAGCTAAAGCCACTTAGGGGATGCAGACAAGTCAAACGTAACTCTTCACTCTTTGCAAGGACACTTTAGTACACTCATCCCTTAACTGTTCTCAGCTCTCCTTAAAGTATACACACTGCACCAACTTAAAGTCCATAATATTGCAGCATCCTTTCTCCTTAGAATAACATAACCCTCTTGGACTGAATGTAGAGATGGGCATCTAAGTAAGTGACAAGGTTTACAAATAAATTTTATCATGATAGACTCCAGCCCTTGCAATCATTCTCGCTGAGTTATCAGATAGTAGTAAGTGGTCTCTGATTCCAGCAGACAAGAAGACCAGAAAGGACCGCCGGAGATGGATAGGTCCAATGTCGCACTGCACTACAAGACAAGCCCCTACTTGGGATCCCAAAGGCCAAAGAAGAAGAGGAAGATCAAAGAACACAGTACAGTGAGAATTAAAAGCAGATATGAAAAGAATGAGCAGCAGTTAGGTAGAATTGAAAGCGAAGGCCCAGGACAGAGTCGGTTAGAGAATGCTGGTCGAGGCAACAAGAGTAAATAAGTAAGAGGTGATCAAGTAATGGCGAACAACGCACAAAGTTCTCCAAGTCACCCCAGCGCAAGTATCATAAGGGTCCGTCACCTTCATGCTCCTCGAGATAACTATAGAAAAATCTCACGTCAAAGAGCAAACACCCATGTAGTCTACTACTTTTTCTCATTAAGACTTACTTCCACTTGAAATACTCTCCAAAGCCCACATGTCATGAATATTCAGAGTTAAACACCGCCTTTGTCCTTACCGCTTTTCGGATAAATCTCGGTTCATTTAAATCCTTTTGAAGCAGTTTTGAATAACAAATGGTTGTATTGAATTCTTAGTAGGATACAATTTTCAAACATGGATATTCGCAGTTAAACACCGCCTTTGTCCTTACCGCTTTCCAGATAAAGGATTCCCTAAACAAAATCAAACGAGAAGTCAGGAATGAGGAGGACTGGGGGTATATCTGAATGGTCGTTCGGATGTTGAGTAGTGAGTGAACTCATATTGCTGGTTGATGGGAGGAGACGCGTAGCTCGGTGTGCCACATAGTGATCTAGCGCGGCTGGATGACTAGGCACGTTGAGCTGTGTCTACCATAGCTAAATAGATCACCATAGACATCGATCACTTGCAGAACTATTTATTTTTGGAATTCCTTTACCGCTACAGAGGATATCTTCGAGAGGAAACTTAACAAACACGTACTGACTCATCGATAACCATCTCCCGTTTGACTCAACTACGCCTTTTGTGTGTCTGGAAATTTACCTGTTGTCATCATAGTCACTGTATCATATCTCTGACTTATTCTGTCCGCTTTCATCTGCGTATCGTTCTTATCCTTGCAATCCAGTGCTCACACTATCCGCGCAACCAATTAATCGATTAGTATTATGTATCTAGTTTCTAGTATCAAAATTTTCTCATTAATATTCCCTAAATTGCAACCAACTGATCTCTAGCCTGGTAATGTGATAGCCACTATTATCCAGAAACCCTACTCTCTTGGGACAAACGCATTCACCCAAATCGCAGGACAAACTAATCCATAAATTACTGCCAAGCGACTCGCAGTAAGGAAATTGAGTGGCCTGATAAATAACCACTGGATGCTATCAAATATCTGAAACCTTACCAAAACAATAAGAAGCGAGAGCGAAGATACCAGTCAGTCCATACTAGCTTGTCGAAAAGATATTGGATATTGAATCTGATGCGTTCGTCGGTGCTTGAAAAGCTTTTAGGCAAGGTGAAGGGTTTTGACTATGTTATTCTCGAATCGGCCGCATTCGAAAAGTTTGGTTCATGTCTGTTGTGTTCGGACATAAAGAATGTATTTTCTATTCATGACATTAATGAGGTATAAATCACATAAATAATGTTGAATGCTGCAGGAATTGGTCAACAAATCTTTCATTTTCATTGTATCCTCCCCATTTACATATTTCCTCCTTGAACAGATTACATCTGTTGTGTGGAATAATGGGAAGCGTTCGGGGTCCGTAATATTGTCTACAGTTGAAGCTTTTGGGAATTGTGATATTTTCAAATTACCTCATGTGAACGAATACCCGGAGCATGAAGTGCAATATATGTCTAAAGACGTAATTAATTTTCATACTACTTACCAATGTTAACAGAACAAACTGTTTAATTTCAAAGTAGAATTCATTTTCAGTACTCCTCGAGATGCTTTCACAAATTTGTATGTTCTTCCAAAACCACATGCTTTACTTCCCGTAAGTATACAAGTTATAACAGAAACGTTAAGCAGGGTTTAGAAGATTATAGTGCCACATTTTATGACATCAATAGTATCTTATGGTCTTTAAAGGTAAGTTACTAATTTTCAGTATATTCTAGTTTTTACTGACCAAGTATATCACTTAGTACTAATCACCATTTCAAAGTTTTCTTAGTAAATCCTAGTTTTGTTACTATTGTATAAAAAAAAGATCTGGAACTGGACGTTATGGATCTGTTAAGATATACACATAGTTTGTCAGCCAACTGCCACATAGAACTTCGTACATCAGTTCAAGTTGTCATACTACATTGGCACAGTGATGCAATTGTCACTTCAAATCGCAAAGTAGTAGAGACAGTCGAAGTATTAGCAGTAATCGAAGAGGCTAGGGTTCGACGATATTATTCATGAAGTAGAATCTATTGAATAAACTTAGAAAGATAAATGTGATGAGGAATTCTGAAGGTTAGTATTTGAGAGAGCACAAAGAATGGATGCTCCTACGCCATTGCAAAAGGTTTTAAGCCTTGTCATTCAAGGCTCATCATCTCGCGGACCCCAACCAGGTAGTCGACACTTACCAACATGACTCAATCCAGTTGTCAGTAACTCCATGGATTTCTGTCATGTTTTAGCTTGGCAACATCCAGCTTTCTTCCAACATAGTTTGTAAGTAATGGAAACATGGTCCCATAATTTCGTAAACTTTTTCGAATTATTTTTCGAAACTAAGATGAAATTAATGCTTATATGGTCAGGTTTTCGTATAAAAACAATCAATATATGACTTATTGGGACCTACACTATTCGATAAATGTGTCTCATCATTATTGTCTCTGATATGGGTACTAACATTTGAATAGTAATGTCATGAAAGTGGCACTGAGCTCCTTCAATGTTTATTTGAGTTTTTCGTGTAACGAGTATAGACAAATTGGAACACGAATCAAAACGTTTTGTACGTATCATGCTCTTATGTTCCCTCGGACCTATAGGAGACACTGTTTTTGATTGCTCAGATTAATTGTTAGAAAGGAAAAACAATTCTCGGAGAAAGGTATACAATTCTCAAAAACTGAGAGACAGTTATTTTTTACACAACATATCACTTTAGCGGGTAGTTGTGTAGGTTTTTTGTGCATGCTATCATATCATAACTTCCTAAATATGGTCCTCCCAGGAAATACACATTTCATCGGTTGGGAATGCTACTAGCTACTAGCAATCCTGCTGTCGTTTTTTTTCTTGGTTGTATCCAAATTCAAGCGGTATCTTTTTGCATTCTTACTGTTGTCATCACATCCCGACCGTAGCTGCTACCTTGACGTGGTGGTCGGGCTTGACTATCGTGATGACCCAACCGAGCTATACTGGCTGGAACATATGGCCCTACAGGTCCTACCATGCCAGGCTGGTCGATTGGAAAACGATGAGACTAAAAGAAGCTACCCAAGGTATGAGGGCGAAGTCGTACTGCTGACTGCAGAGGGGTGTGACAGCAGTAAGGTGTTTCCCTCGGACAACAAGCAGCATCTGCAGCGATGCCGCCTTCTCACAAGGAAGGAAGGGTTAGAAAAGGTCGACCCTAAAAATGTCACACCTCACCCTACCTCACGGATTTCCGTCTCCTTGGGAAAGGGTGCCCACGAAGGGCCTTTAAGAACGGAGCTAATCCTCTAAATACCTTTCATAAAAAGGCCGTGCGTGACCGGCCTCAAGTAGTTGTCCCTTGGACTCTGCGGTCACGCACCAACACTAATCCATCTTCCTTTTCAGGTTCCTCAAGAAACGACCTTCCACGGTGTGGGCATGCGGGAAGTGACAACCGCCCTCATACCCGTAACAGCACGTGAGACCAAATCGGTCAAAATCAAATCCTTCCTACCCGTACCCGTCGTCATCACAAATAAGATTCTTCCCTTTATTTCTTTACAATATTCTCACTTCATTTAATCTACTAGACTTAGTGACACCCTATAGTACTAAACTTTTTCATATGATAACTTTATAAGTGAAAAATAAATCTCCAAGTTAATCAGTTGTTTTATTTTTAAAAAATTTACCTTTCCTACTGTAGATTGTAGAAGAAGTTTATTCATTTGGACAAATCAGTAGTAAAATTGCCGCACAATTTACTGATTTTCCTGCTGCAGTAAATAGAAAAAAAGTGAGTACAATTTTTTTTCTTTTTTCTAGTCAACAATCGTTTGAAGACATTGATCATTCAAAAAGTTTATTATGCAGAAGAAGATAGTAACTTACAAATATCTTCTATTCCTACTTTATGACTGTGAAACATGGCCAGTCAGAGTAGAAGATATTCGTAGGTTACTGGTTTTCGATCATAGGTGTCTTCGAAGTATATTGCTCGTATATCCTGGGACAACCGAGTGAACAATGCTGTTATTAGGAAATGAGTGCTAGGTAAGGATGGCAGATCAATAGATGAAGTATTGAAACTTCATCAGTTGAGGTAGTTGGGACATGTGCTGTTTATGCCTAACCACCGATTGACTCGTCGAGCTATATCTTGCGGTGTAGGAGTAGATTGTAAGAATGATAGGGGCGGTCAGACTGAAATATTGCATAAATCTATGAAGTCACTGACAAGTGGACTGAGTCATGTTGGTAGATGTAGACTACCTTGTTGGGGTCCGCGAGATGAAAGTAACCGATAGTTATAAACTATCACAATCTCTATCTTTCTCCGTCTAAATTTATCTCACTGAATTATACTTCTCGAATCATATCTTCGCTCCCTAATCTTCTCCATTATTACTGCTAATACTCCTACTATCGCTATCACTCTTGGATTTGAACTGACAGTTGCGTCTCTGTGCTTATGTGGTATAGCATCCTAAACTAATGTATTTATTTAAGTCCATTTCACTGAATTATACTTCTTGAATAATATCTTCGAACCCTAATCTCTCCGATTACTGCTAATACTTATGTAGCGAAGGAGAACACAGTTGAGGGCAACCGAATTGTATTTAACGAAAATTACAGAGTTACTCAGTAAAATAGGAAAACCATATCGTAACCGTTAATTTGCAAATCTTCAATCCATCATCAATCCATTCACTATTCATGCGTTTCATACAAATTCCATTGTGTTCCCACTCTTCTTCCTTTCTTGATCTTCCCCCATCTTCTGCTGTCAGACATTACGTTGACACTCACGTCATATACTACTTATAAGTAGCGCGCACCACACTCAGACTACCTCTATTACTATGGAATTTGAAGTGAACATTGTATCTCTCTGCTAATGTGGTATGTCGGCATGAACTGATGTACGTACTTACGTACGAAGTTCTACGTTGCTATTGATTGATTGGTTGAGATATTGCTTTTTTGTTACTGTTATATCCTTTATATTTATTTTATTAACTATGAAACAAGTTACTTTCTGTTTATTATTGAAATCTTCTTATAGTCACTTCATAATCATACTGAAAAATCTACAGCTTCAGTGATTTTTATTGATGAATCCATTATTTGTGATCCAATTGCATGTTTAGAACCATATACAATAACAAATCATTTATTAGATATCATATTTGCTGAATTATCTCCTGATGGTTATCGAATTAATGTATCATGGGAACAATTATCTAAATGGTAAGAAGAAATATTTTTCAAATTTCATGAATACCAGCCATCTGTTAAAATTGCATTACGCTTGGATTACATTTTTGTATACTATTCAATATGAACAACCGTGACAACATGTGAAAACCAAGTGTATCTTCAAATTACAGGTCATTCTCTAACCATACCAACAAGTTTTCAATCATTCATCTTTCTTACTGTACAGATCATTATTAGGAAACTTGAGCTTCTCCATATTGTTTGAATGAAAGTCAGTAACTGCATAGGTTGATAATATTTATCGGTTTATCATTAGATAACCTCAACGGTTACCTGAATGACATGGCTTAAAATCGTTTGCAATGGAGCAGGTGCATCCCTTCGTTGTGTTCTATGAAATTTTAATCTTCCGAATTCCTCATCACTTTTATCTTTCTTTTTCTAAAGTTATCTCACTCAATTATGCTTCTTGAATAATATCTTCAAATATTAATCTTCTGCATTACTGTTAATAATTTGCATTACGGGGTTGTGAAGATTGTTAAGTTACACATTTTTGATAGCATGAATCGATCAATGTTAGACCACCATTAGAAACCTGGAAGCACTAGATGGCCGTTTCGTCCTGATATGGGACTACTAATCAGCAGTGCATGTCGACGACTCCTGCACCCCTCAGGATTCGAACCCAGGGCCTTCGGTATTAGTGCGCGAACGCCCTAACCTTTAGACCACTGAGCCGGTATCTGACAGTGTTAATGTCGAACTTGATCAAATTCACGGAGTTGCGCAACCTCATACACAGTCTTCGGTAGTGGTTACTGTCTACACCCGAACAGGTTGAACTTCACTGGTCACGTCTTCCCACTGGAACTCGGAGAAGATTCCTCACGAAGCTAGTCACTAGTGAGCACAGGTAATTGGCATTACGGGGCTGTGAAGATTGTTAAGTTACACATTTTTGAAAGCATGAATCGATTGTACTATCTCTACCACTATGGGATTTGAGGTGACAGTTGCGCCTCTGTGCTGATGTGGTATGGAAATCTGAACTGATGTACTCACGTACGAAGTTTTATGTTGTAACTGATTGACTGACTGACTTGAAACTGTAGTCTCAACATGAAAACCATTTCATCAGTTACTTGGCAATGCTCAACGGTTTTAATTGCAAAAAACTAAGTCATTGTGTACAGGAATAATAATGGATGTGTTATACGTTTATATCAGTTGAATTAGTTAATGACATGTGAGTTGAAATCATGGCTATTATGTAACCTACTATTTCCAATAGGATTCTTTATGTTTAGTAGTCACTTACCTGCCGTTTGGCCTTGACATGTATGTGAATCAATAAAAGACAGTCGAGAATAAGATATTTATGATCTTTGTAGACAACTGTTATACAGTTCATTTAATTATTTTAATTCGGGCTTGTAGTTAAACAGTTTGTAACTGTCTTTTTATGTGTTTCAGTTATGCCTTTAACATTTCAACCATAGTTCATTGAGTTAGAGGCACTCATCTGTCAGCTTATTGGGAAGCTTTCATCACAAACTCTTTTTAATTGAATTAGATATACTACTGATGGTATTATTATTTAAAATGATAATAAACACCTCTTTATTTTAAACCACCTAGCTCAAAAATATCCGTCCGCTTTATAAATTTTCTCAGTTACTCGATTAAAAATCAGTGAATCGCTTCACATATCTTGAGAGTCTCATCAGCGCTGATAGCCTGATGACTGACGGAATCTCAGCGCGGATACAGAAAGCTCGATTGGCTTTTGCCAACTTGCGTCACTTATGGCGTAGGCGTGATATCCGTTCGCTAATCAAATGACGGGTGTACTGCGCAGCAGTTCGTTCCGTTCTCCTATATGGCTGTGAAACATGGCCGTTAAGAGTAGAAGATATTCGTAGGTTACTAGTATTCGATCGTAGATGTTTAAGAAGCATTGCTCGTATATTGTGGGACAACCGAGTAAGCAATGCTGTTGTTAGGAAACGAGTTCTAGGTAAGGATGACAGGTGAATAGATTAAATATTGAAACTTCATCAGTTGAGGTGGTTGGGACATGTGTTACGTATGGCTAACCGCCGACTGACTCGACGAGCTATGTTTTGCAGTGTAGGAGTAGGTTGGAAGAAAGTTAGGGGCGGCCAAACCAAAACATGGGCGAAATCCATGAAGTCACTGACAAGTGGACTGAGTCATGTTGGTAGATGTAGACTACCTGGTTGCGGGTCCGCGAGACGAAAGTCACCAATGGTTAGAGACCTTGAACGACATGGCTCAGAATCGTTTGCAATGGCGCAAGTGCATTCATTCTTTGAGCTCTCTCAAATCCTAATCTTCTGGATTGGTCAGCACCTCTACCTTTGTCTTTCTAACTTTATCTCACTGAATTATACTTCTTGAATATAAATATCTTCAAACCCTAGTCTTCTTCATTACCATTAATACCTCTTCTATCTTTATCACTATGGGGATTTGATTTGACATTTGTATCTGTGTGCTAATGTGGTATGGCAACATGAACTTATGTACATACGTACGAAGTTCTTACGTTGCAACTGACTAAACTGACTGAGTGAATTACCGGTTCAAATCATAATCTTCCTACTTTCACACAACCAGTCTAGTAGAACCCTCAAAAACTCATAAACGTTTATATGATTAGTAAAATTCTATTCGTGTTTTCTCACCAATCTATATCTATACTCATTTTTCCTCTTTTAGTTCATCTGAAAATAAAGTTCACATAAAAATGTTAACAAATCATATGTGTACAGATTTAATGCAATCATCAATGGATGTATGTGTCAATCCTTTACTCAATGAATATTTCATGTTAAAAGAGCATGTAAGTGAAAAAATTTTAAAAAAAAAAAATTAAATCAATCATTACCATACATCTAGATGTTAACAGTAACTGCTACTATTACTGTAACATTGAATGTTTTATACTCAAATTGCATTTGGTGAATGAGATCATTATGATTATTATTTCCAGTAAGCACGATCCAATTAGTCATAGGCAAAACATAAAATCCACCACATTTGGATTCGTTCTACTTGTCACACCATGTTGATACATCAAGATTAAATTATCAAAGCAAATGACAGATCAGTAGAAATAGTAACGGTATCGCTGATGGGCGAAAGGATTATGTCTATTATGACGGGTTCTGAGTGATATCAGATGACATATCTAGGTATTTGTTACGATAATAACGTAGGCGCTAACCAAGTAATCTGCTCTTATCAGTACGACTTGGTCTGACAGTCAATAACTTCATGAACTGATTCTGTGTTTTATGTCTGTCTGCCTTGAGTTTTATTCTAACGTAACTCCTAAACCATCTGACGTTGTTCGTTCAGGCAGGCGGAAGTTGGGGATACATAACACATATCATAATTACTTCAGTAGATAAAACTTTGAAATTTTCTCTATCTAGTGCCTTGAGTCTAACTTCTGGATTACTCACTTGGCAGTTTCGACGTCAGTCAGGAAAATTTCGACAACACCTATAACAAAATACTAGCAGCGTATAAATGCTTCTACTCATTCAAACCAAGTTCCACACCCATAAAACTGCTGCTCAGTGCACTCACCTCTTGTTTGATAGACGAATATCATATGTACACCATAGGCCTAGCGAAGGCTAAGTAAGCCTTCTGAATCCATACACCAAATTGCACATGCATCAGAAAAAACAGTAGCTCAATATTTGGAACATTTAACTTCCAATTACCCGTTTATGGTTTACAGACTTCCCTCCATTTCTTTAATTTTAAACAGTTAAGGCATATCATTATTCCCCTCACACTGAAGTACAACAAAGCCTAGCACATAAATCTGTGCTCGGTTGTCAACCAAATAAGTCACAGATTAACCAACCCACTCCCCAAAAAACCCAGTCGTTTCAGTTTGTACAGGTGGATAGTATCATCCAGAAGATACAAGTTTTTATTAACAGTTGTCTACGCAAAATACTTCGGATCTGTTGGTCAGACACCATCAGCAACAACCTACTGTGGGAGAGAACAAACCAGGTTCTAGTGGAGGAGGCGGATAGAACACACATTGCGGAAAGCATCAAACTGAGTGACAAGACAAGCCCTCATCTTTAACCCTCAGGGTCAAAGGAAAAGAGAAAAACCAAGGAACACATTTCACCGAGTAATGGAGACAGATATGCGAAGAATGAACAAAAATTGAAGAGAACTGGAAAGGTTGGCGCTGGACAGAATAGGTTTGAGAATGCTATTCTGTGGCCTATGCTACATTGGGGGTAACATGCGTAAGTAAGTAAATCGGTAGCTTTCGTACATCAGTTGTGTCCTGGAATGTAAAATTTTTAGATCAGTCAATCATTTAAATCCTGATTTATCTCATAGATTTAATTTCGAACTAAATATTCCAATTTATACCTCTAACCCTTCTTTAACTTGGTACTAACTTACTAATGTTCATAATCAATCTCGACACACCAAACTGTGTGATAGTGTATAGGAAATTAGATTAAAGTAACAAATTACTATGTTTGCTATGCTATCACGATAATATAGCACAATTACCAGATAGATTTATGTTTTTCCTAACCTTTACTTTATGTTAAAAAGGCATCACTGTCTAAAATCCAACAAAATTTACTACATGTCGCTGAGTTAATACATCATGAATTACCGGAATTATCTGAACCGCCTAGAATCAAAGCGAAATGGGCTGATCTGTTACGTAGTCAAATTAAAGAACTATTTGTGTAAGTTATTATTTTTTTTAAAAAAAGGAAACAGTATTTGATGTGTTGACTTTATATTTCTCTTTTCTCATTTACTGATCAAAACGAAAATGAAGGGGAACAGGATTATGAATGTACGAATTAATGGTTTAAAGTGTAGATAGAGTTGGCTCAGTAGTTTGGGATACTCAAATCTCCCAGTAAGTCGCCGGTACACAAACCTCACCCTACCTACTTATCATACAGAGTACCATTAACCCTCATACTTAAAATGCTCCACAAGGTTGAGTGTAGCAATCTGTACTAGATAAATGAGCTAACGATAATAGTAGCTGAAAGCTAAGTGCTTTGATGACTAAGTCAAGTCCATGTTCTAGGGGTCACCAGTTGAGGAATACAATAGTTAATCTTGATCAAATAGCTGAATCATACGTCAAATCTAGAAACGATACTATGGATAGTAAGATCACATAATTGGGTCGGGGAACCTTTTAATGTAAATGTCTAAGGTGTTAGGATCGTTTTGAAGTACAATCAACGACAAGTTCCGCTCTTCAAGAAGTTATCTAAGAAATAATTTACAAAGTATGCTATAAAAATAAGTTTTGATAGAACAGTTAGAAGACGTAATTCATCTGAAAAATGTGATGTATCCGCGCCTCATACATTTTGAACAATCTGGTCATACATATTCACTTATCAAGGTATTTTATATGAAGATGAATAAAAGGTCCATTAAATAAAAGTTCAAATAGACTTAAGGTGATAATTGTAAATGAAAGAGAGAAAGAGAGAAAATTAACGTAATATAGAAAGAATAAGAAAGGGTAGGAAATTGTCACATTACCCTAGGCCATAAAATGCCTTGTCAGTTGTATATATATATATAAATATGACCAGATTGTTCGAAATGTATGGTACAAATACATCAACTTGTTCAGATCAGTTCTATCAAAATTTATAAAAGGGATTGATGGTTTAGAATAAAAATAAGCTGAAGTATATCAGTTAACAAATATGGAGCTGAGAGAGAGTTATACAATATCAAAAAAGTCTATAAAAGTTGTTAGGCATCGAGAGAGACATTTCTAATGAAGAATGTATAAAATGAAGGGAACCTACTAATGTAGTGAAGGAGAACACAGGTGAGGGCAACCGAATTGTATTGAACGAAAATTACAGAGTTACTCAGTAAAATTGGAAAACCATATCGTAAATCGTTCATTTGCAAAATATCAGTTCATCATATCGAACTGGATTGTTCCTGTTGCAAAACGTCAATCTATTGTCACTATTCATGCGTTTCATACAAATTCCATTGTGTGTTCTAATTCTTCCTTTCTTTATCTTCCCCCATCTTCTGTTGCCAGACATTACGTTGACACTCACGTCATATACTACTTATAAGTAGCTCGCACCACACTAAGAATGTTAAACAAAATGAAATGACAATTATAAAATAAATTCAACGTCAAGAATGATCAGCAGGTAGTACGACATACTGAATAAGGTAAGGGAGGAACAAATTGCAATTAAAAAGTGCGCAAAGAATATATGCATATTCTAACAGACTGATACAATCATCTAATTTTATTAAAGCTCTAATCTATCTGTCTATCTACCTATATCTCTCATTGTATATATCTTAATTACTATTATTTTCAAGATTATTTGTTTTCCACTTAGCATGAGAGATAGTATATATTTTAAGTGGTGTGTGACGTAATCTAAGCTCGATTGGCTTTTGCCAATCTGCGTCACTTATGGCGAAGGTGAGATGTCCGTTTGCTAACCAAAGGACAAGTGTACTGCGCAGTAGTTCGCTCCATCCTACTATTTTGTTGTGAAACATGGCCAATTAGAGTAGAAGATATTCATAGGTTACTAGTTTCCGATCATTGTTGTCTCCGAAGCATTGCTCGAGTATCGTGGGACAAGCCAGTGAGCAATGCTATTATTAGGAAACGGGTGCTAGGTAAGGATGGCAGGTGAATAGATGAAATATTGAAACTTCATCAGTTGAGGTAGTTGGGACATGTGTTACTAATGCTCGACTACCGACTGACTCGTCGAGCTTTGTTTTGCGATTTAGGAATAGGTTGGAAGAAAGCTAGGGGTGGCCAGACCAAAACATGGGAGAAATCCATGAAGTCATTGACTAGTAGACTGAGTCATATTGGTAGGTGTCGACTACCTTGTTGGGGTCCGCGAGATGATAATAATCGATGGTGACAGACCCTGAATGACATAGCTCAAAAAACCGTTTGCAATGGCGCAGGTGCATTTACTCTTTATGTTCTATGAAAATATAACCTGAATTCCTCATCGGCTCTATCTTTCTCATTCTAAATTTACCTCACTGAATTATACTTCTTAAATAACATCTTCGAACCCTAATCTATTCGATTACTTCTAATACTTTTACTACCTCTACTACTACTGTTGGATTTGAATTGACAATTTTGTGTTTGTGCTAATGTGGTATGGCAACTTGAATGCGAAGTTCTACGTTGTTCATGTTCGTTTCTTTCCCTTCTCTGATGCATTGGTCATCATTTATGATGTTTTATGGTTGTTGTTGTTGTTGCTGCTGATGATGATGATGATCGTTACTTTTTTTTTACAGACCAATTTGTAAATCTGGTCGTTTCGATCTTTTAAATCATATCCAATTCACATTAGCTGTCATTAATGCATTCGATTTGATTACACGTCGTAATCGTTTTCATCAACATGATGATGGAATGATTAGTTTGGAGAAATTATTAGTGAAATTTGAACGTTCTTTATTGGTTTCCAGTCAAACGGATGCGAAACTTATTCAACAACTTCAAAAACCAACACATTGTGAACCGATTCTATTGAATGCTTATAAAGAAGCTGTGTAAGTTAATGCTGACTTACTGTTTATGTATAAAAAGACATTAGATTTATTATTGATCAGTTATTATTTGAACTGCTTAGATATGTTGTTCGACAGTTCTCACTTCCTGGTTGGCCATAGCTTGCGAGGAAACTTCTCCCTGAGTTTCCGTCCTACTGTACGGATGCGAGACTGGGTCGTTAAGAGTAGAGGACTTCCGTAGGTTACTAGTCTTCGATCATCGATGTCTCCAAAGCATTGCTCGTGTATCCTGAGACAACCGAGTAAGCGAGGGTGCCACTAGGAAACGAGTTCTAGGTAGGGATGGCAAATCAATAGACGAAGTGGTGAAACTTCATCAGTTGAGGTAGTTGGGACGTGTGTTACGTATGGCTAACCACTGACTATCGCGACGAGCTGTTTTGTGGTGTAGGAGTACGTAGGAAGAAAGCTAGGGGCGGCCAAACCAAAACATGGCACAAATCTATGAAGTCACTGACTAGTGGACTGAGCTATGTTGGTAGATGTAGGCTATCTGGTTAGGGTCTGCGAGGTGATAATAATCGATGGTTAGAGACCTTGAGTGACATGGCTCAGAATCGTTTGCAATGACGCAGGTGCATCCACTCTTTGTATTCTATGAAATTCTAACCTTTTGCATTCCTCATAATCTCTACCTTTCTCCTTCTAAATTTATCTTACTGGATTAAACTTCTCGAATCATATCTTCGCTTCCTAATCTTCTCCATTACTGCTAATACTTCTACTATCGCTAACACTCCTGGATTTGAAGTGACAGTTGCGTCTCTGTGCTGATGTGGTATGGCAACCTGAACTGATGTACTGACGTACGAAGTTCTACGTTGTATCTGTTTGTCTAAGAGTTGTATTAGTATTGGTGACCTGGAAACGTGATAGCGGAGTCTGAGTGACAGCTACTTGAATTCAACGCTTCTCGTCACAAGGTGAGGTATGATACTTATGAAACTAATTTTTCTAAACCCCTACATTCTGTCATGAAATGGCACTATAGCTGGAGATGTTGGTTGTATGAGGGAATCACTTTACCATCATCACACCCTTTTACAGTTATCAGTAGGACTTCTTCACTTTCGGAATATGTGTTTTTCCTTTTTTAGTTTTATCACTGTCTAACCAACCTCTATGGTAAAGACCAAAAGAAATAAATTTTTCAACCGATATAACTCTAATGGGTCATCACGATGTACAGATTTGTTTCTCATGTCAAAGTAGCAGCTAGTCAGGTGGTATTAATACTTATTGAACACTAAATAGAGTTATCTTGCTTTAGCGTATGACTCTTCATGAGATGGCCACCAATAGCTGAACTCAGAACCTTCAAGTTTTATTGTGAACATGTCTCATTTACATATATTCAATATTCACTTTAGTCAGTTGGTAATGTGATGTGTGACTCTTCCCTTCGTTGATTGTGATGACTGTCTGATGCATGCTGTGTTAAAAAGTATGTTATCAATCATCATACAGTACTATTTGGTTTGTATTTTGCAAATTCTCTCCTCATATGTTTTAATCGATTTCTTTTGTAGAAACTTGCCAACTCTTGATGACATGTTCCTGTTTGTCATACATACAATCAATTTAGTGCCTATTCATTCACCTATCTCAGAATCAATTTGGTCAGCTATTCGAGTAAGTAACAGTTGATTAATTGATTAGTAGGTTGCTTTTTGTCACAGATTAATTTTAATTCAGGTTAGGGCAAAACTGAAAACCATAGTACACCCATTGGTTATAACTAGTCCCTAAAACTTTAAGGATTCCATCTTAAAGGAAGTCATTTATGAACACACACAGTTATGGTATAGATAAAGAAGTTTTGTCGGGATTCGTTTAACTCCTAAGTATGTCGTGCATATACACCGCTCTCCAATACACACTGGCTCCCAGTGTTGCCCCAACTAAGATCAGTCAGTGACGAGTTCAACTATCTGGGTTCAGGGTGATCAGGAATTCTGTGACCTCTTGATGGAGGCTCATCATCGAACCCGTTGGGTTGTATTTTAACTGATTTGGTTTGATCATCCGGGCAGACAGATACAACTCAGAACTTCGTACGTAAGTACATCAGTTCAGGTTGCCATACCACATCAGCACAGAGACGCAACTGTCAGTTCAAATCCAGGAGTGATAGCGATAGTAGAAGTATTAGCAGTAATGGAGAAGATTAGGAAGCGAAGATATGATTCGAGGAGTATAATTCAGTAAGATAAATTTAGAAGGAGAAAGGTAGAGATTATGAGGAATGCAGAAGCTTAGAATTTCATAGAACACAAAGAGTGGATGCACTTGCGCCATTGCAAACGGTTTTGAGCCATTTCATTCACAGTCTCTAAACATCGATTATTATCACCTCGCAGACCCCAACCACGTAGCCTACATCTACCAACATGACTCAGTACACTTGTCAGTAACTTCATGGATTTGTGCCATGTTTTGTTTTGACCGCCCCTAGCTTTCTTCCAATTTACTCTTACACCACAAAACATAGCTCGTTGAGGCAGTCGGTGGTTAGCCATACGTAACACATGTCCCAACCACCCCAAGTGATGAAGTTTCAATACTTCATCTATTGATTTTCCATCCTTACCTAGAACTCGTTTCCTAACGACAGCATTGCTTATACGGTTGTCTCAGGATACACGAGCAATGCTTTGGAGGCACCGATGATCGAAGATGAGCAACCTACGAAAGTCCTTTACTCTTAACGGCCATGTCTCACAGCCAATTAGTAGGACGGGTCGAACTGCTGCACGGTACACTCATCCTTTGGTTAGCAAGCGGATATCTCGCCTACGCCATAGGTGACGCAGGTTGGCAAAAGCCACATCCAGGAAAGCGCGCTTTGGGTTTCAGTCACGCTAACTGGTTTGTTATGAGTAATTCTGTAGAAGATTGTGAGATCGAAACAAATTATCATGAAATAGTCAATGACTTCGAAAAGTTAAACTTAAAACCAGATCTACTTCGTGGTATATATGGTTATGGTTATGAAAAGCCATCAGCCGTTCAACAGCGAGCTATCAAGCCGTCCACTGAAGGTCGTGATGTCATCGCTCAAGCTCAGTCTGGCACGGGAAAAACGGCAACGTTCACCAACACCATTTTAGAAAGAATAGATATGTAATTGAACTCATGTCAAGCGCTCGTTCTTGCGCCGACTGGAGAACTTGCAAAACAAATCCAGACGGTTGTGCAACGCATTGATTGCTATTTGAATGGCAGATGCCATGGTTGTATTGGAGGGACAAAGACTCCACAAGATATGTTATGCCTCAGCGGGATCACCATGTTGTTGTGGGTACTCCTGATCGTGTTTTTCACATGATGAATCGCATTACTCTAGCGACCGCCAATATCAAAATTTTTATTTTGGATGAAGCTGACCACATGTTGGATCGTGGTTTCGAGCCCCAAATAGAAGTAATATATAGATGTTGATTTCCTCACCTGAGTTTTCGCGCTGATAAGACAAATGTCGTGGGTGTGAGGACGTGACTAGCGTATTCTATCACACTGTTAGATTGACTTAAGAAGGCGCCTATTCCACAGTCACTCGCATCTGTTGCCACTGTAAACAGTTTTTCAGGTTCAGGTAATCGTAGCGTCATCCAACGGCAGTCCAATAGGTTTTTGATACGGTCGAACGTTTGCTGGGCAGTCTCTGTCCACGTAAACTTAGTGTTGCTTAACAACTTATAGAAGGGTGCTGCTTCTTCATTAAAGTTCTTGACGAATCGACTGTAGAACGCCGCCCTTCCAAGAAACTGTCTCAGCTTCCTTTTGGAATTAGGTACCGCGATGTTCTTTATGGCTAGGATTTTCTCCGGCAACGGTTTTATTTCTCCATTTCCAACTTTATGCCCCAACAAGATGACACTACTTTTCGCTATTTGTGATTTGTTCTTATTAATTCGTAGTCCGAATTCTTCAATCCGCTTTAGGACAGCTTCCACATGGTTAACATGATCCACTTCCGTTCGGCTGTACACTACTACATCGTCGCCACACACCTCAACATTCGCTAGGTTCTTGAGCAGCAGCATCATTATTCTTCTGAATGTAAACGGTGCACATGCCAACCCGAACGACATTCGTCTGAGGCTGGTACTGCTTATCACGTACAGTAAATGCTGTTTTATTTCGATCACTCTTTTTTTATTGGCAGTCGCTAATACCCTGATCGTAGATCCAGTACTGTGAACAGTGTGGCGTTCTGCAGCCGATCCAAGGTCTCCCCCACGGTGGGCATTGCACATGGTTTTAGTTCAGTTATGTTATTAAGTTCTCTGAAGTCTACACAAAATCTGTATTTTCCTCTCAGCTTCTTCACCAAGAGCACTGGCGAGTTATATGGCTGTCTGCTTCTTCAATTATGCCTTCTTTCAACATCTCTTGTACCTGTCTTTTTATCTCCGCCTCCAAATGTACAGGCACCCGACGTGTTGTAAATATGGTTACTTGTTCGTCCTTTAGTGGAATTTCGTGCTTTACTTTGTCGCGAAATCCGTACGGTTCTCCGTCTGCCGTGAACAGTTTCCCGTACTTTGCACACAACTCGTGAATATTTGGTTTCTTTTCCGACGTGTCTGGTGCTACCCTTATCTCTGCCACTTCACTACTCTCATGATCGAGAATGCTCCATACTTAGTGATTATCTTACCATTTCGTAGGTCGATTATCGATTTTACTTCTCTCAGGAAATCTGCTCCTAATATTGGTCTCGGTAAGCTTTTTGTCACTACAAACTGGAAACTTATCTCCGCACTTCCTACCTTTACGTTACTGTTAGACGTGCCCAGAACCTGTAACAGGTGTCCCCCTACGGTTTGAACTGTCAATGTACATGGCATGACTCTCTGACATACTTACTTTACTTACGCCTGTTACCCCCAATGGAGCATAGGCCGACCACCAGTTTTCTCCAACCAACTCTGTCCTGGGCTTCCCTCTCCAGTTCTGTCCAATCTTTGTTCATTCCTCTCATATCTTTCTCTGTTTGTCGGCGTAGTGTGTTCCTTGGCCTTCCTCTTTTCCTTTTGCCTTGAGGGTTCCATGTGAGGGCTTGTCTCGTGACGCAGTTAGGTGCTTTCCGCAATGTGTGTCCTATCCACTTCCACCGCTGACTCTCTGACATAGCTGTCTGCTAATCAACAGTATTGCTGGCCCTGTACCAATCGGACACACTAACCCGCGTTCGTTGATGCTTACTCTGGCGTACAGCGCTCCTCTATCGACTAGCGCGAAAACCCCCAGATTCCCCGAACAGAAAAAACCAGAATTATACCTTTTCACATACTTGCGTCTTCGTCTTGTGGGACAGTTTCTCCTCCAATGTCCTGTCCCTCCAAAAACGTAACATTTATTATTCCTGTCACCAGTTACTCGCATTTCGGCAATCTCACGCTGCAGCTTATCAATTTTCTTCTCGAGATCATCTTTCTCCGGATTCGCGCACGCCACCGAAACTACTGTTCGCGTCATTAGCTGTCGAGTCACTTTCGCCAATTCGTTTATACGCATTGGTTGTGCGGCGCTAACCAACTTCAGCTGCTGGGAAATGGCGTCCGGAATGCTCTCGATGAACTGCGATGCCAACAGCTTGGTCAACTCGACTGCCAGCACAAGTGAGTCTCCATCCGCAGACAACTTCGCCGTCCTGAACTTCTGAAGTGTCTCCTGCCTATCCACTGGGCTGTCAAACTCCTTGACAAGCCGATCCGTGACCGCCCTTCATGTCGTCATCTTGCCATCTAGGCTGTCATACACAGCCTTCGCTCGGCCGCAGAGCAGCGATCCTAAAACCACTGTCTTCTCCTTCTTCCATCCAGGTAGTTTCGCCACGGCCTTGAACTAGTTCAGGAAGGCCACCACATCTCCATACTCGAACTACCTCGGCTACGGCATCCTCATCCTGGCAGCGACACCGAATGTTGTGCACGTATACTCAGGTGAGGACATCAACAGCAGGAGACGGTGGTTTTAGGATCGTTGCTCTGCGGCCGAGCGAAGGCTGTGTATGACAGCCTAGATGGCAAGATGACATGAAGGGCGGTCACGGAGTTTGACAGCCCAGTGGATAGGCAGGAGACACTTCAGAAGTTCAGGACGGTGAAGTTGTCGGCGGATGGAGACTCACTTGTGCTGGCAGTCGAGTTGACCAAGCTGTTGGCATCGCAGTTCATCGAGAGCATTCCGGACGCCATTTCCCAGCAGCTGAAGTTGGTTAGCGCCGCACAACCAATGCGTATAAACGAATTGGCGAAAGTGACTCGACAGCTAATGACGCGAACAGTAGCTTCGGTGGCGTGCGCGAATCCGGAGAAAGATGATCTCGAGAAGAAAATTGATGAGCTGCAGCGTGAGATTGCCGAAATGCGAGTAACTGGTGACAGGAATAATAAATGTTACGTTTGTGGAGGGACAGGACATTGGAGGAGAAACTGTCCCACAAGACGAAGACGCAAGTATGTGAAAAGGTATAATTCTGGTTTTTTCTGTTCGGGGAATCTGGGGGTTTTCGCGCTAGTCGATAGAGGAGCGCTGTACGCCAGAGTAAGCATCAACGAACGCGAGTTAGTGTGTCTGATTGGTACAGGGCCAGCAATACTGTTGATTAGCAGAGAGCTATG